GGAATATCGTGGCCCATGGCGTCCCCCTTCCTGACCTTCCCCTGATATGCAAAGTCTTTCATGTATCCTGTTAGTTGTGAATTTTAGCTTCAACTGTTTTAATCTGTTTTATCTCTATTGCACTTTGTGCCTTGTAAGCCGCCCTGAGCCTGCGCGCAGGGAGGGCAAGGTATAAATGAAATAAATAAATAAACAAAAAGGAGGCCAGTGCAAGTTGTCCTGCCCCATCGAATGGAATGTAGCCACATAAAGTGGCCCTGCAAGGCTCAGTAAACCTCCTACCTTTGGTGTTTGCTGTCATGGATTGTATCTAGTACTCCACAATATAGGTCAGAAGCTGTGCTAGGGCACAAAATATATGTTCCTTAATCCTAAACAGCCCTAGCTAAAGTTTCTCTGTGTGGTCAGCACTCCCTCCTGTGGTGACTGCTATGATGCACTCTTTCTGTGTGTATATTAATGATCAGCCCCCATGGCTGTTTTGTTTTGAGTTTTGTAGTCACTGCCCACCATCATCAGTTTTGGTTCACCTCCTTGTTGGTGATTCCTCGTTCCTCTTATGACTGTAGAACATCATTTCCATGTACATGCCATGTATACATTGTATGCCACTTATATGCAAATGTTGCAAAAGTAATGTTGGAAAAATGTGTTTATGTTTAGAAAAACGTGCTCATTTTAACAGGAAATATTTAGCGTAAAGAGAAAGAAACTGGTACAAGGTCATCCTCATTCTTCATCGGGAAGAAATGAAATTAAAACAGGTATTCTGGAATCAAGCCATTCAGCTTTCAAAATCTGATCCCATCTCTACTTTATATGGAGATTTTTGTTGGACCAATGTATGCTTATTTATACTTTGTTTATATCCCACTTTTGTCCCCAGGGAGAGTCTATCTAGACCCTTTGTGACAAACAGGTTAAGTTCCGCTTGTCTCTAAGAGCAACCAATTAGAGCTGATGGAATGTTAAAGAGACAGTTGAAAAACAGCAGTCAAAAATGCAGTCAGGAGTTGAGAGGGAAAAGAGTATATCTGACAGAGTGAAGCTGTGGCAAAGCACAGTTTAAAGCTAAATGGAAAGAAAAGTCAATTTGTAACAAATGATCCCAAATGCTGGAATAGAGAAACAGTTCAAAAGTTAAAGAGAAATGAAACACTGTAACCTCTACCTTACTTTCTTCAGAGTATGTTCAAACCACAAATAAAAATTAACTCCTTGTTTGTTTATCCCTCTGGGCTGGTTGCCTCAGGGAAAGAACCATACATACACACACCAGTGAAGATCTTGGTCTGTATAGGTTTTAAGGTATGGATAAATGGTGGCAGTGTGTCAATGGAACAGTGTATGAGCCCCCAACCCCAATAATTCTGTGAAGTGTTTGAGTGAGGGTCTGTTATTAAAGGAGGCTTGGCTACCCTGTCTGAAGATGTCTTTGTGAGTGAGAGAGAAGACCTGAGAGGTGAAATAGTCATCATGACTCTCTTGAGATTTTAAAAGAGGCAAGAAGGGTAGCGACATGTGATGGCTTGACCTACTTGTAACCCTTAGCCAGAGAGAGAGAGATTGTGGAGGGTGATAGGTACTCTGTGTGAATGGAAAAGGGGCGTCACACCTTGTTATTTATTACCAGGCTTCATAGCCACCACTGAAACATCCAGATATCAACACAGAAAGCAGTTATGTTGTGGAAACTGTACAGCGATGCTCAGGGGTTGTTTCATAGAAAAAGAGCTAGGGGAACTCATTAGCATAACTCATTAACATATGCCACACCCCCTGACATCAGGGGCTCGGCGGTGGACCTGCAAGGCCGGCAGGAGTGCGAGGAAGCCCCGCCAAGGGCCTCCCTGGCCCCAGGCAGGCAGGGGTGGGGAGAGGCGGGGAGGAAGCAACTTACCCTCCCTCTTCTCCTGCCTCCTCCTGGCTGAATGAGGGCCGGAAGCGGAGCAGCCAGAAGCAGGGGGCGGGGCTTCTTTGTGTGCCCCCCCCCACCTCACCCGGGGAAACTGCGATCCCCCGCAATCCCCCCCCCCGAATCGACCTCTGGCGATGCTCAGCTCACAAACACAAATTTACACAGTGATCCTTGCTTCAACAATTTCAATTATATTATGTGTTTGGATCGAGTACTAATGGCACCGACTGGTTAGTTCCAGTAATATCACATTCATCCTCCACCTAACCATGCTATAGTGACGTCCCTCCCAAATGGCATAAGTGCCCTGAATAGATCATTGCATCCAACATATTCTCACATCTTTTTGTTAACTCTTGCATTTGCTTGCTAATATGCTGCTATCCATTGATCTTACCGGTCACCTGATCCAATCTCAGCTCTGCATCTGCACCTTGGCTCTTAACAGCTGCCCCCACCCTCTTTTTTCTTGTAAGTAACCCCTGAGGGGATTTTATTCCATTTGTCTGAAGAAGTGTGCTATGTACACGAAAGCTTACACTTTGAATAAAACTTTGTTGGTCATAAAGATGCTGCTGGGCTCAAACGTGGCTCTGCTGCTTCGGACCAACATGGCTACCCCACCTGAATAATTGATCATTGTTGTGAAAAAATTGTGTGTGGCTGCACGTGTCTGTGAAAGTGTGTTTACCCGTGCCACCCACACTCTCCCCTCAGTTCGTGTGTCTCCTGAGTGTTGCCTCCTTACCAAAGGCAGAGGTGTAAGCTTGGAAATCACTAAGGCGCTGGCAGAGACATTCAAAGGTCTCTTCTTAAAATAAAACTTATCTTTATTATAGGAAAACGTTCAGAGATTTACCTGGCAAGATGACCAGCAAGACGCTATGCCAGCCTGCCAACACAGTAGAATCCTATTTCCTAAATATTGATAGAACACACAGAAAAATAAACATGCAAGCAAAGTTTCCCCCACCCCAAGGCATGCAGAGAACGAGAGGCCTCTCGGGTTGACTCCAAATTCTCAGGAGGCTAAGCCCCTCCTGATCTTTCAGAAGCCAACGAAATTCTGTAGGACTTCACCAGTATTTATACCAAATGATCAAAGGAGTTCCTTTGATGATCATATCACAGTTGTAAATTAACACTTAGAAGTTGAAATTGTCGTGCAGGAAATTGCGTCCTTGGTCTTACACAACAAAAGTTCACATTCCACAGGATCAATACAGTGTCATTGTTTTCTCCTGGTGTTTCCCAATTATGGGAAATAAACTGTCCTTTTGGTGCTATCGCTGAGATGAAAGCGGGGTGTGTGTGAACTCTGTATCCCAGGAAGTTAGTTTGCAGGATTGAAGTCTGCCAACTTCCCAAATGGCCACACATTTTATTGCCTAGGAAATTGGGGGTCTCATCCCTGGGGAAACATTCATTGATTCAAATCCTGGGATTGGAATGTTTTGAACTTTTGCCGGGGTGACTGATAAAGAGATTTGTCTAGAACAAAGGGCTTGGAACAGGCCAGGCCTCCTTGCTGTTCTGCTAGCAAAGAAACAGAGACAGATATATGGATTTCATAAACTATTTGGTTCATTTTAAACCCAAACCTTCCATATTTCTAAAATTTCTTACCACAATCATCTTACACTGTTAAGGCAAGTGCAGTACACCTAAACACTTTGAAAGACACAGGTCTCTTGATAAGTAGGTTTTGGGACTGTTTCGAAGCACACCTGTGTAAGACAGTTTTATTCCAGAGGATATTTGGTGAGGGGCAAACTGTTTGGACAAAGTTGCCTGCATTTTCAACTCTGTGTAGGGGTTTTCAACTCTATGTTTTCATTATGTATCAGTTTAATTGTGTGCTGGGCACTTGTGATGTTTGTCTCTTGGCAACTTTCACTGAAGAAGAAGAGTTGGTTTTTATACCATGCTTTTCTCTACCTTAATGAGTCTCCCAGTGGCCTGAGAGGTAGGTGGGGCTCAGAGAGTTCTTTTTTTAAATTAAGTTTATTTAATACATTTTACATACATAAAACTCCCCCCAAAAAGGAAAAGGAAAATAATTAAAACATTCTGGGGTGTGGAGTAAACTTTAACAGTAAAACTCATAAAAACAGAGACTTATATAATCAAGGATAGATCAGTTCTAAAACAAAGAATACTAGATGTTGAACGACAGATGGATGTGAGCAGGATTAGGAGCCCTGTATTTGATGTAAGTACACTTAACAAGATAACTTTGAGATCTTATATCAAATATTTAGATATCTGCAATCATAGAAGAATTTTTACCCTATTAAGATACAATGCCTTACCCTCAGCCATAATGGAGGCCAGATATACTAGATCACTGAGGAACAGTTGTATATGTGGGATGGGAACTGACGAAACATTGGAACATGTAATTTTCGATTGTATTATATATCAAAATATTAGGGAAGTTTTGATCAAGCCTATAGTTAACTCCTTTCCAGTTCGTAATAGAAGGATACTTTTGTCAATTATGCTGGCAGGGGATAACCAAAAGCTGACTTGGATGGTTGCCAAATTTGGCTGGTTGGCATACCAAACTAGGAAAGAAATAAAGTACAGATAGGCCTAAATCTAATTTCTGATCCTAATATTTATTTTATCATGTCTGTATTTTAAAATATTTAGATTCCTATTTTTAATTTTAGATGCCATTATATTTTATAATTTTATTGCTCCCTTATCTGTACTTATTTGTCTTCTATTATACTGGTCTATGACCGAAATAAAGAACTTTGAACTATAATCAAGGAAAGTATCAACAGGAAATTACAGCAGGGAAGATCAACATTACATCTCAGGTTTAATCTCAGGCTCACCATCCCAAATTCATATGCAGACCAAGGGGAGAAAGAGGAAAAGGCAGAGAGCACACCTTCCCAAAACCACTTCACGGATAAAAATGACAGGAAAAACCAATGACTCTACAAGAAAAACTTACTAGAACATCCCCTACCACAGTGCCCTCATTACAGGGGGAGGCTGACAGAGTTCTGAGAGAACTGTGACTGACCCAAGGTCACCCAGCAGGCTACATGTGGAGGAGCGGGAAATCAAACCCGGTTCTCCAGATTAGAGTCTGCCGCTCTTAACCACTACACCACAATGCTTCATTTGCTGCCTTGAGTCTGAAGAAAAGGCAGGATGCAACTATTTAAAAGAAACAAAGAAAACAGACATTATACAAAAAGTTCTTCTTGCAAAAGGAAAGAGAGACAATCCAAACATCTCATTTGATCAGACAGCTTTTAAAAATAAGGTTAAGGTAGCAAATCTGTCTTGACCTTTACGGAGAGCAAAATTTGCCAAGGAAAACCATGGTGTTGGTAGGGTTGTGCTGGATACAGAAGAGAAACGGGTGATCGGCCACAAATTGTTCATAATGCACCGAAGATCTGTTGGAAACCACAGCGCCTGTGGCAGCGGCTGCTTCAGTGCCCACTTCATTCACTTCCACATAGGCTTTGTGGATCACTTCGGACAAGTAGAGTTGGTTTGAGGGAGACATCCCAGAGAGGTTGGCTGTTCTGCTAAACGCATCAACCATCCCCAGCCTTTCCAAAGCCAACTTGAGGTCAAAGCCCTTCTCGAGCTTGAACCGGGGTAGACACACCTCCACGTGGTGCTCCTCCATGTTTTCAGAGGCAGTCCAGCGGGCTAAATTCTCACTGCTCATGGCTTGTTCAACCTGAATGGTTAGAGAGAACTCACAGTCAGTGGGGGAACAGATCATCACATCAGCCAAACTCAAAAGAAAAGTATAATCTAAAACAAAAACAAAAAACCCTGAGGTCTTCTGGATCTTTGCAATGCCTGTGCTTCCCCACTGCTATAAAACACTTATGACAGGAACTCTGTTCCTCACTTCAAGGGGTGCCACATATTTCCCCATGACAATTATTTTGCTTCTTTTTCCCCCTGTTCACTGTATTGCTCGGTCTTGTAGAGCTGTTTAGTATACAAACTGCTTTGCCACTGCAAACATACTTCAGAGATAGCTACTTCCAATGCTCCCTCTAAGCTGTGGAGTCTTGTGAGCAAAAAATCTACTTTGTGGGTAGATTAGTAGTAGGCACGTAGATGAACAAAACCTATTGAGGCAGACTCAGCATGGGTTCTGTAAGGGAAGATCTTGTCTCACTAACCTGTTAGTGTTCTTTGAGGGGGTGAACAAACTTGTGGACAAGGGGGATCCAATAGATATTGTTTACCTTGACTTCCAGAAAGCTTTTGATAAAGTTCCTCATCAAAGACTCCTAAGTAAGCTCAAAAATCATGGGATAGAAGGACAAGTCCTTTTATGGATCAAAAACTGGCTAATTCATAGAAAACAGACAGGGAGTATAAATGGGCAATTTTCTCAGTGGAAGGTGGTAAGCAGTGGGGTACCGCAGGGATTAGTACTTGGTCCACTGCTTTTTAACTTGTTCATTAATGATTTGGAGTTGGGAGTAAGCAGTGAAGTGGCTAAATTTGCGGATGATACGAAGTTGTTCAGGGTGGTGAAAACCAGTGAGGGTTGTGAGGCACTCCAAAGGGATCTGTCAAGGATGGGCAAGTGGGCATCAACATGGCAAATGGGGTTCAGTGTGGCCAGGTGCAAGGTGATGCACATTGGAGCCAAAAATCCTAAATATAAATACACGTTGATGGGGTCTGAACTGGCAGAGACTGAGCAAGAGAGAGATCTTGGAGTTGTAGTAGATAACTCACTGAAAATGTCGAGACAGTGTGTGACTGCAATAAAGAAGGCCAATGCTATGCTGGGGATTATTAGGAAGGGTATTGAAAACAGATCAGCCAATATAATAATGCCCCTATATAAATCAATGGTGCGACCTCATCTGGAATACTGTGTGCAATTCTGGTCACCACACCTTAAAAAGGATATTATAGCTTTGGAAAAAGTGCAGAAAAGGGCAACTCGAATGATAAAAGGGTTGGAACACTTTCCCTATGAGGAAAGGTTAAAGCGCTTAGGGCTCTTTAGCTTGGAGAAAAGACGACTGAGGGGTGACATGATCGAGGTTTATAAGATTATGCATGGGAAAGAGCAGGTAGAGAAAGAGGTACTTTTCTCCCTTTCTCACAATACAAGAACCCGTGGGCACTCCATGAAATTGCTGAGCGGTCGGGTTAGAACGGATAAAAGGAAGTACTTCTTCACCCAAAGAGTGATTAACACATGGAATTCACTGCCACAGGAAGTGGTGGCAGCTACAAGCATGGACGGCTTCAAAAGGGAATTAGATAAGCATATGGAGCAGAGGTCCATCAGTGGCTATTAGCCACAAGGTATAGCTAGGGGCTCTGGGGCAAGTGATGCTCTGTCTTCTTGGTGCTTGGGGGGGGTCAACAGTGGGAGGGCTTCTAATGTCCTGGCCCCACTGCTGGACCTCCTGATGGCACTGGTATTTCTGGCCACTGTGTGACACAGAGTGTTGGACTGGATGGGCCTTTGGCCTGATCCAACATTGGCGTCTCTTATGTTCTCTTAATTAATAACAGTACTATGTAAGACATTTTGTAACATGATCATTAGCAGAGATGAGAAATCCTGCCCTATGGTCTCATTAGCATTTTTGGCCATAATTTCCACCTCTGAGATGCTTGCCACAACTCAGCTTAGAGGGAACACTGGCTACTTCCCATTTGCCCTATTTTTTTCTGCATTTCATGCTGGGATCAGTGTTCCGTCTAAGCTGAGTTAGTGTGAGCTAGCTCACAGTTTTTTAGCCTCTCACTCACACATTTTTGTCTTCGCTCAGGAAGGACAGCTCCAGAGCAAACTGATTTATACAGCAGCCGAATCGCTCGCTCACAACTTTAATGCCAGTCGCTCACCAAGCAGAATTGTTGCTCACAGGACTCCATAGCGATCCCCTGGCACAGTCGATCCCAGCTGGGCTGCCCGGATGGCAGGAGAAGGCAGCAAGAGCTGTGCCTGCGGGGAGCTATTGGCTCCTAGCAGGTACAGTGACCCCAGCTGGGCTGCCGTCACCTGCTGCCCAGTTTAAACCCACCTCTCTGCTGTTTTCAGATCTACCCAAAATCATCAAATATATCCAGGATTTTCTGGGGATTTTAAAAAAAATTTTATTTCCCCAAGAAAACCTGGATACATTTGGGAAGCCGAAATATACCTGAAAAATAGCAACGAAGCATTTTGGGGGTATATTTTTGGCTTGGGTAGGTTCGAATGCACACCCCAGGAACTGATCTCTGCATTCTGGAGATCAGTGATCATTCAGGGAGATCTCGAGGCCCTGCCTCGAGGTTAGTAACCTAACTTTGAATGACTACTGGACCCATAACACCAAATGGCTGTCGGAGAAATGCTCCTAGAGCAGTAGGAGCATTCTCTGTGGTTTGGAGCCTATTTCTGCTATTTATTTCTTACCTTGGATTTGTGAATTGCCCAGTCCCTGCACACACAAGGCTCTCTAGGCAAGAAGCTTCATCAGTTCTTTAAAAGGAGCTGACCTTAACAGTAAGTAAAGGTAAAGGTTCCCTTGCTCGAAAGCCAGTCGAATCCGACTCTAGGGTTGCGGCGCTCATCTCCGTTTCAAAGCGGAAGAGCCAGCACTGTCCGAAGACGTTTCCGTGGTCATGTGGCTGGCATGACTAAACACCAAGGTGCACGGAACGCTGTTACCTTCCCACCGAAGTGGTACCTATTTATCTACTTGCAACTTCTTGCTTTCGAACTGCTAGGTTGGCAGGAGCTGGAACTAGAGATGGGAACTCACTCCATCATGCGGCACCCGGGTCTCGAACTGCTGAACTACTGACCTTCCACAGCCTGCAGTTCAGTGTCTTAACCACTTGAGCCACCGCAGCTCCTTGACCTTAACAGTAAGCACAAGTTAAACAGCTTGTGTCAGTGAACATGAAAACATAGACATGTCCCATTTGTCACATTCATCCCATTAACAAAGAATTATCTCTGCAACATGGAACAGGAATTGACCATCCTGTTGATATTAGTTTAAGGTCTCACTGATTTCATCTGACATAAATCCTTGATTTAATTGGACCCTATGTCAAGTGTAAAAAAAAAAAAACCAGGAAGGAAACAAATGGCCTTTTTAATGAAACAGCAGCTCCCTCTCGTGTCTATGATTGGGCACAGCATTTAATGCTTCCATCCTGCACAGGGTGAGGAGTTTAAATCCTGTTTACTTGAATAAGAGCCAACGCAGGCTGATGACAAGCAGCGTTTCAACTTAAGGAGAAATTCATTTGACTGAAACCAAAGAATGGTTTGATTTTTCCTGTCTTTGCATAGATGAGATAAAGTACATTTAAATTCAAGTAGAAAAGGTGGCAAATGGAAGTTTAGTTTAGGGTTGCAGGTGGTCCCCCCCCCCCGGCCACTAGTGGGAGGTGGGGGTCTGGCTTGGTAAAATCCTGGAGATTTGGGGGTGGTGTCTGAGCAGGGCAGAATTTGGGGAGGGGAAGGAACTCGGCAGGGATGTGATACTGCCAAACAGTTTGCCCTCCCAAGCTGCCATCGCCTCTGTTGTCTGGAGACTATACCTGCAGGCTGGCAACTCTAAACTAATGTAAACCAATCCTCTGGATTAACTTCATTCATGGCTTTTGTATTTCCAAAATACAGCTGTTCCAAAACACAGCCTCTGAACTCTGGCACCTACTTTACTGTCTTTCAGTTGCCATGCTAAAAAAATGTTCTTTCCAGCTTTTTTTTAATGCTCTGCTTCTGGTCTGAGGCCTGTTTTGTAGACAGTTTTATATCGTTTATGTCCCTGGGCTTGTTTTTAGATTGTTAACTTACTGTTTTAATTATAAGCCACCTTGAGTGGGAGCCTGTTCATGTTACCATTCTAAACTGGGTGTTATCAGCTGTCGGTCCAGTTCCGAGTAAAGTGATACAGGGATGGCGGTTTCATAAAGCAAACTTCATCCTGTTAATGAGCCACCTCTGAACTGCTGCACTTTCCCCCCCCTGCCCTTTTTCACCGCTTGATCTTCCTTGCCCTTTTTTTCCTCTGAACATTCTAAGTTGAGAGCCAATTTGGTGCAGTGGTTAGGAGCGCGGACCCTAATCCGGGAGAACCGGGTTTGATTCCCCACTCCTCCACATGCAGCTGCTGGCATGACCTTGGGTTAGTCCCAAGTTCTTTCAGAGCTGTTCTTTCAAGATCAGTTCTCGAAAGAGCTCTCTCAGCACCACCTACCTCACAGGGTGTCTGTTGTGGGGAGCGGAAGAGAAAGGAGATTGTAAGCTGCGCTGAGACTCCTTCAGGTAGTGAAGGGCGGGGTATGAACCCAATCTTCTCTTCTATAGTGCTAAACCAATATAGTCTCTCAATGGAGTCGTCCCAATGGTGCCGCCATAACAATGAAGTGTTATATTGGTTTAGCGCTATAGCGCTCAGTTTAGAACATTCAGGGGGGAAAGGGTGAGGAAGATCATGAGGCGAAAAAGGGCAGGAAAAAAGTGGCATTGTCGGAAATACTATGGGCATTTTAAACAGCACACCACAGCAATTCAGAAGCACAATAAAAAGGTGAAAGCAGAAGAAAGACGTTTCCTTGCCAATGGGACACTAGGGGCTTTGTATGAACAGGTAAACAACATTCGTTATCAGCCGGTTGCTAAAGTGGTTGTGTCTGAATTGACACGAAAAATCAATTAATGACCTGCTACTAAAATGGATCACGAAGGCTATCTGAAAGGGGCCCAGGACTCTGCTGAAATGGCATAGAAATCTCTTAAATAAATACTTCTTATAAGGTGCAAGTCTGTCCTGAATTTTTTCTTGCCACGTGAAGACTGAAACAAACTGCAGGTTGTATTTAATCCCCTCCCCTTACCAGAAACATCTTTTTCCTCTTCAAAAAGCTTTTCTCAAAAAAAGAAAACACCCAACTGCAGCAAGAACGATGTGTAACTCAAAAGCTCACACATAGCATTGTAACATTGCAACGTTTGAACATAGGAAGCTGTCTTATACTGAATCATACCATCAGTCCATCACAGTCAGTATTGTCTACTCAGACTGGCAGCAGCTCTCCAAGGTCTCATAAGAACATAAGAGATGCCAATGTTGGATCAGGCCAACGGCCCATCCAGACCAACACGCTGTATCACACAGTGGCCAGAAATACCAGGGGCCATCAGGAGGTCCAGCAGTGGGGCCAGGACATTAGAAGCCCTCCCACTGTTGACCCCCCCCAAGCACCAAGAAGACAGAGCATCACTTGCCCCAGAGTCCCTATCCTATACCTTGTGGCTAATAGCCACTGATGGACCTCTGCTCCATATGCTTATCTAATTCCCTTTTGAAGCCGTCCATGCTTGTAGCCTCCACCACCTCCTGTGGCAGTGAATTCCATGTGTTAATCACTCTTTGGGTGCGTTCAGACGAGGCCTTTCTGCCAGCATAAACTGCACCGGTTGGAACCGGTGCAGTTTATGCTGGCAGAAACACAATCACACTTACCTCCATTTTGCGGATCCCATCGTTGTATGCCCGGTCACACGCTGCGGGCGTCGGCGTTTTTTTTTTAAAAAAAACACAGTTTGAGCATGCGCACAGGCAGCCATTCACAGAATGGTGATCTTTGCGCATGCTCACCCCCCCCATTACATTTAAACTTTAAAGGTAAGGACTTACCTTTAAAGTTTAAAATCCAAACTGGCCTTCCTTAAGTCCCGGACTCCTCTGGATAGTTAAACTAAGGGCTTTTTTTTTTTAACAAACGCTCAGGGCAAAGCTTCGCCCAAGTGCATATCGCTCAGTTTAAAAAAAAATGGTGGGGGGAAAACGGAAGCCTCAGGCTTCCGACGGAAATGGCTAGGCACCGGTGGAGAGCGATCAGACGGCAAGGTACACCGTTTACAACCATTGCACTCAGGATGACACCACTTGGGACCTAGTGGCAGAGTGCAACGGTGTGAAGGGCTTTACACCGGTTACGGACAGGAGGCAGATGTTCCCCGTCTGAACGCCGGTGAGTACAACGATTGCAACCAGCACCTATACCGATGTAAAGCTCCCGTCTGAATGCACCCTTTGGGTGAAGAAGTACTTCCTTTTATCCATTCTAACCCGACCGCTCAGCAATTTCTCAGGCTGTCTTTCACATCACTTCCTACCTGATCCTTTTAATTGGAGATTGAACCCGTGATCTTCTGCATGCCAAGTAGATGCTCTACCACTGAGCCACAGCCCCTCCGTTGGTTGGTCATAATTTTATAAAATGTTCCATTTTTGTGGTTTATTTCCCAATGGACTACCATTACCTGCTTCAGACCGCCAATGTCATTAGGCAGCAGGATCATCATAGACAAGACTTCGCTGGAATATGGGAGACAAAGAATCTGTGCGTTCAGTCCTGCCGCGTGACCCAACTTAAATTTGCCTTTTTGATACATCATGGGCACAGGTTTACTTTCATTCTGTTTTCAAAGACAACACAAAAAGAAATACGAGTAAGTTCACATGCACTTGGGCTATGATTCCACATGTAAGCAAAATCCATTCCTTTTATAATGAAAGTTGTGGATTCTGAAGCATTGTTGTGTAACAATTTGCACAGCGCTTTGTAGCAGGTAGAGCAGGAGGAGGAGGAGGATATTGGATTTATACCCCGCCCTTTACTACCTGAAGGAGTCTCAGAGCAGCTTACAATCTCCTTTCCCTTCCCCTCCCCACAACAGACACCCTGTGTTCCCTCTAAGCTGAGTTAGTGTGAGGTAGCTCACAGGTTTTTTAGCCTCCAGACCACACATTTTTGTCTTCGCTCAGGAAGGATGGCTCCAGAGCAAACTAATTTATGCAGTAGCCAGATTGGTTGCTCACAGCTCTAATGGCCACTAGCTCACAAAGTAGAATTTTTGCTCACAAGACTCCACAGCTTAGAGGGAGCATTGGCTGTGAGGTAGGTGGGGCTGAGAGAGCTCTTTCAAGAACTGCTCTTGTGAGAACAACTCTGAAAGAACTTGTGACTGACCCAAGGTCACGCCAAGAGCTGCATGTGGAGGAGTGGGGAGTCAAAACCGGTTCTCCAGATTAGAGTCCATGCTCCTAACCACTACACCAAACTGGCTCTTGGTGGATGCCAGGAAAAGTGTCAGCGATCACCATGATCCCCTCAGGGACCACACTGGGGCCCCCTGCTGTAGAAGCCTGGAAAGGGGGAAATTACCAGGGAAACTACCAGGGCCAGGGCTTTTTCGGTGGCAGCCCCATCCTGGTGGAATGAGCTCCCAGAAGAGATCAGGGCCCTGCAGGACCTCTTGCAGTTCCGCAGTGCCTGCAAGACGGAGCTCTTCCGTCAGGCTTTCTCCTAGGGAGCCGCAAGACAGAGCTCTTCCGCCAGGCTTTCAGTTAAGGAGCCACCACCATTATAGAGCCCTGGCCCTTGGTTCTAACATCCAGCCGCAGGAAGATCTTTAGAGAGTACATTGAAATAAGCCATCCTGAGTAACTATCTTCTGCACTTTATGAAACTGTATTAATAATGGAATTGTTTTAATATGGTTTTATGTGGTTTTAACTGTGGTTTATGTACTGACAGTGAGCCGCCCTGAGCCTGCATTGCGGGGAGGGTGGGGTAGAAAATGCGATTAGTAAAATAAATAAATAATTATTTTGAAAAGCAGAATATTTGCAGAAAATGGAAACTTATGAGCCAGTTTCAGGATCCAGTGCAAGATTGCCTGTGGCAGACTAAATGAACAGCATGCAACCTGAATGGAGGATGGCAGGCGGGCAGAAAAAAGCTGTATGTAACAAAATAACAGGAGCTGCGGTGGCTCAAGTGGTTAAGACGCTGAACTGCAGGCTGTGGAAGGTCAGTAGTTCAGCAGTTCAAGACCCGGGTTGCCACATGACGGAGTGAGCTCCCGTCTCTAGTTCCAGCTCCTGCCAACCTAGCAGTTCGAAAGCAAGAAATTGCAAGTAGATACATAGGTACCACTTCAGTGGGAAGGTAACAGCGTTCCGTGCGCCTTGGTGTTTAGTCATGCCGGCCACATGGCCACAGAAATGTCTTCGGACAGCGCTGGCTCTTCGGCTTGGAAACGGAGATGAGCACCGCAACCCCAGAGTCGGACTCGACTGGCTTTCGAGCAAGGGGAACCTCTACCTTTACCTAACAAAATAACAATATTTTATACAACAAGAGCATCACAATAAATTGAGGTTTCTCCGAAAATACCTGTTTCAGACCTGTTTCCTATTTCTCCAGGAATCCCCCCCCCAAAAAAAAAAACAAGCTGGTAACCTTATCTCACAGCAGTCTTCATTTCCGATACAAAATTTTTGTAACCAAAACTTTTTTAATTTTTTCAATATAACTTACAGTCAGAAAATGGAGCAATAACAAGAAGGAAATTATAAATTTACAATAAACAAACCCTTACAATCGTAAACAGGTAGTTATTATAACCAAACTATAACAGTTCAATCAGTTTTCAAAATCTAAATGTAATATTAAAAGGGTAAAGGTTCCCTTGCTCGAAAGCCAGTCGAGTCCGACTCTAGGGTTGCGGTGCTCATCTCCGTTTCAAAGCCGAAGAGCCAGCGCTGTCCGAAGACGTTTCCGTGGTCATGTGGCCAGCATGACTAAACACCAAGGCGCACGGAACGCTGTTCCCTTCCCACTGAAGTGGTCCCTATTTATCTACTTGCAATTTCTTGCTTTGGAACTGCTAGGCTGGCAGGAGCTGGAACTAGAGACGGGAGCTCACTCCGTCATGCGGCACACTCGGGTCTCAAACTGCTGAACTACAGACCTTCCACAGACTGCAGTTCAGCGTCTTAACCACTTGAGCCACCGCAGCTCCTAAATGTAATATTAGTAAAAGGCAAAATGTAAATATTTGTCTGGTAACTTAAATAGTATACCAGCACTTGAAGAGGCATAATCAAAAAAGGGAAACCACCGTTCCAAAAAATTATTAAAGTTGAAGTTTGAGCAACCAATAACTGTGTGGCTATTTTATCTGCCACTGCCGTATCCCAGCATTCCAATCTCCATTGCTTCGTGGAAGGAATTCTAACTTGATTCCATACCTGGGCAATCAAACATTTAGCCGCGGATAGCAATATAGGAATTACATCTCTTTTAAGTGAAGCTAAAGATAAATTTGGCCAGTAATTCAATAAAACTGATACCGGTGTAAATGGAATGTTGTGATTCACAATCTTTGAAATTGCAGAAACAATATCAGACCAAAATTGTTTGATACCGGGACAGTCCCGCCAACAGTGAAGAAAAGAACCTATCAACCCACAACCTTTCCAACAATTCGGACTGGCCCTTAAATTTGCATAAAAACAAACGATGGGGTGTGAGATACCACCGAGAATATAATTTATAGGATTGTAAGTTTATCAATGGGTTATACAAATTTTATTGAAGCATTTTAAAACTTTACCAAAAAAAAAAAGAAGAAGAAGAGAGACAAAGAAGAAAGACAGAGGGGGAAAAAGAAAGAGAGATATAAATGAAAAGCTTTTGATTTTCTCCACAACAAATATTGGCATAATTACAGAATTCATTACTGTTCTATTTTTACCAGAATAAAACTTCTCATTTTTCTATAATCCTTTTCTCCCTCATGCCATTTTGTAATATACTAAAGCTACCTTAAAAGGTCTCATGTTCCTAAAAATGTATACAATACCTCATTCAGCATAAATTCTCTTTCTGTCGTAAGCTTTGGATCAAACTGGTGTTGCCAAGTAGCTTTAAAATAGGTGGCATTCGCCAGCACCAAGACAGATTCTGGTTCAAGAACACCTGGGGCAAAAAGTTCCTTGATTTTTCCTTTGAGAAGAAGAAAATGGAATTACTGTGGAGCAATTTTTAAAAAAAAATTATTTGAATTGTTTTTGCATGTACTTTTAAGTGTTGCCTATTTTTTGTTGTATCTCCACAATAGAAATAAAAAGGACAATGTGAAAAGTAAAACACATGAAAACAGAAAAGAAAAGCTACCTGTGATGCTTCTCTCCATCTCTGAAACTGCCTCTCAATCAAAACTCCCACCTGCAAAATGTCATACAGCTCTTAAAGGGACAGGAGCCCTGTCAGAAAAAGCCAAAGTAACCATCCTCGTTTCCCTAC